ATGCGGGTCACTCTCGCGCGTCGGCCGTGCGCGCGCGTCGAACTCCTTCCAAAACCTTCATCGCCGACGCGATGGCACCGACATCATCGCTGGCGTGATCAGAGTCGGCGTCGTCGTTGGCCGCTCCGTCGTCGCTGTCAACTTTTCACCTTGGACAGGCCAGCCTGCCTCCCGCGCGCTCGACAGCGGCAGCGCCAAAACACCTTGCTTTTCGACCTGAATCCGGCAAAAAACACGAGGAGAGCAGGATCACAGGCCGCAGCCTGGAGGCGGCCCCATCTCCGCCTGGGAGGGGGCGGGGGCGGGGCAGGGGGCCGCCTTGCACCGTTTCCAATCGAGACCTGGTGGAAGAGGCCGTAGCCTCTTCAAACCTGCGCGCATGGACTACACGCGATCACGCACATGGACAGCGAGACAATAAAAAAAAACACTGCGACGGAGGAGGGGGGGGAAGTCCTGGATGTGGATGTCGGCGTAGTGTCGTTACGTGGGGTGCGCGCATTGCCGTTCGAGCGTCGACCAAGTGGTGGTGTCTTGGGCCGTGCGAATCCAGGTGAAGACGTTGGGTTGGCCTGTTGCAGTCGGCGCGGGCGTTGGATTGTTTTGTTGGAGGAACTTGACGACGTCGTCTTCCCAGCGTTTTCGCTGGCCGCCTCGCTGTCGAAGTCCGCGCTGGCGCGGGTTCTCCCCCGGCTGCTAGCGGAGCGCGCCGCGTCCACCTGGCGGGGTCACGGCAAGCAACCCTCGACGCCACGCGCCACGACTTCTGCATGTCAACCGTCTCCCAATGCGCGATTTGGCGGTGCTGCGCGAGCTGCTCTGCACTCCGTGTTGCTCGCTGTATATACTCGACCCAGGGCTCTAGCGCGTCCTCGTTGTCGTCGTCATTGTCGTTGCTCTTGCTGTGTGGGTCTGCTGCGTCTTGCTGTGCTGCGTGGCTGTCTGCGTCGTCGCTGCTGTCGGTTGCGTTGGGGTCGTCGCCATGTGCTTCGCTGGTCGTGCCGTCGTCCGTGCCGATTTGGCTATTGCGAGGGATTTTGCTGCGAGCAATGCGTCGCCGTGTCGTTCTGATGATCATGCGGAACATGCGTCGTTGCGTTCGTCGCAGGCGTTCCCGGAGAGGCTCCGTAAGCGTCCAGGTCTCTGCTCCGTAAAGCGCCGTCGGTGTTACTGTGCTGTTGAGAAGCCGAAGCCTGTGCGCGAGCGGGTAGCGTTTGCTGGTCAGCTCCTGTTTGTGTGAAGTGAATGTGCCCGCGCGGCTCTCGTGCGGTGGTGGATCTCTGTCTCCGTCGCGCCGTGGAAGCTGATGAGTTGGCCGAGGTATTTGTTGCTGCCCTCGTGTGGCAAGATGTCGATGTCCATGCCCTCAACGCGCGCCGTTCGCGAGCTCGCCCTGCCGGTCCGTGTCGCCTGGTTGCTCAGTGGCTTGGTTATGGAAGAGTGCAATTCGAGTCCGCGCGGTTGCGCCGCGCGCACAATAGCTTCGAGCATCGGTGTGAGGCGCGGGAGTCTGGCTGGTTAAGATCACGTCGTCGGCGAAGCGAAGGTTGGTGAGTGTGGTGGCGGCGGTCCGCCCCAGCTGAACGCCCTCGCCCTTGTTTGCCTTTCGGTGATCAGCGGTTCTAGAAAGTGTTGTAGAAGAACGTTGAGGAGAAGGGAGCTGAGCGGGTCCACTTGTTTCGTGCCCCGTTAAAGGCTGTAGGGCCCGCTGGTTACATCCGTTTTGACTGCGGCTTACCGTCCCTCGTACAACTGCTGATAGAGAGAGAGTTTTATCCTGGCTGGACACCTTGCGCCTTGAGTGCTGCCCATATGCTCTCGTGTTCGACCGCGTCAAAAACCTTTTAAAAGTCGAGCGGTGCACCCCGCAAGTTCTGGCGCCATTCGTGCGCTCGCTCTCGAAGCCATGTGAAATGTGAGGAGGTGGTCGGTGGTCGAGCGTCCTGGTCTGGAGCCTGCTTGGTCAGCTGTCTGTCGAGTCGACTGCCGGTTGGACTCGGTTGTAAAGCGGCCTGCTGGAAAGCGTAAACCAGCGGCATCGTGCCTGTAGGGTGGTATTTTGAGGGAGCGTGAGATCCCCACTTTTTGGAATTACCGTGACAACTGCGCTCTTCCAGCTGGCTGGTGGCGGAGCGTTGGACTGCAGGATCGTGTTGTAGAGGTGGAACAATATTTTTTTGAGTTCTTCCGCGCCTTCTTTCAGCATCTCTGCTCTGAGGCCTTTGGTGTCGGGAGCGCTGCCAAGGCGGAGCCCCTTGATCGCCTCGTCTACATCTGCTTTTGTGAAAGGTGGGAGGTCGTCGTCGGGCCGTTCTTGCTGCGTCTACTCTGTCGTTGAATGGTAAAAAGGTGCACGTAACATTCAGCGAAAACGTCAGCAATGTCTTGTCTTGTCGTGCGTTTGGCGCTGTCTTGGTCTGTCATGTGCGTGGTGAGAGTCCGCTTTCTGCGTGTTTTGATGCGCGTGATGCTTTTCAAGTTTCTGAAGTGGCCAAATACGTAACTTATATGAGCTCGTCGTTTCCTCCGCTTCTGCGCACGGATCTCATGCTGTATAAGTTTGCTCAACTGCTTTCGAGTGTGGTGGTCGTTGTTTGGTGTCTGCTGACGCTGCTCCAGTAGGGAGTGCGCTCGCTCATCTCCTCTGTCTGGCGGGCGGTCTCCAAGTGGTTCCCCGGCAGTGCTGGCAACAACGGCCTCGATGATAACGTTTCGGATGTGGTCGCTCAGTGCTTGTGGGTCGGATGGCAGTTCCTTTGGGTGCAGTCGTGGACGCTGGTGTTCGTGGTAGACGTTTGTGTTGGTGATTTGTCCCGTCGATCGGGGTGCTGAATGTGAATGCTGTCGTTGCTTGTCGTCGTGCCGTGGCCGTTTCGTTACCATGGATTCTGGTATTGTCAAGTCGGTGAGAACAGCCTTGTGGTCGGATCCGAAGTCGGACGTGTTGCTGGCTTCAGCGTTCGTGCACTGTCGGAAAGGCTTGCGGCTCAGCAATATGTAGTCGAGCTGTTTCAGGAGCCAACGCCAAAGGCAGGCGAACGCGCTGGGGCCAAGGCATCAACCTCGGACTCGGTCGTAACGAAACGAAACGCCACATTCAGGGCGGCCCCTGGGATTCTCTCGGCGAGGCGCGGCCCACCCTCGGGGCCCCGCATGGCGTCCTCTGGAAAGCTCTCGCTGGGGCACGGCTCTGGAATGCCAAGCAGCCAGGCGACGTCATCAGTCGTGCCGGAGACCAGCCTGGAACGAGTCCTGGAGCCCATGCCGCAACCACGCAAACACCACTGGGTCAAGGCATCAGCCCCGTGCTCGGACGAAACGAAACCATCCGCAACATTTAGGGCGGCCCCCAGGATGCTCTTAGCGAAGCGCTGCCGACCCTGGGGGCCCCGCTAGGCGCCCTCCGGAAAGCTCAACGGGGCATGGCTCTGGAATGCGAAGCAGCCGGACGATGTCATCAGTCGTGCCAGAGACAGACTTAGAACGAGTCCTGGAGCCCATGCCGCAACCACGCAAACACGACTGGGCATCAGCCCTGTGCTCTGACGAAACGAAACAATCCGCCACAATCAGGGCGGACCCTGGGGAGCTTCGGGAGCTGTCAGCGAGGCGCCGCCGACCCTGGGGGCCCCGCAAGGCGCCCTCCAGAAAGCGCAAAGCAGGGCACGGCTGGTCGCCGCTGCCTCCGTTGAAGGGGTCGAGGGACTTCCCCGCCAGTTTGGCGTCCGCCTTCGGCTTGGCCTGCTTCGGACGGGGGCCGTCGGCCTCGTCCCCGCCCGCAGCGGCCGCGTCGGACATGGCGGCACCCTCGGTCTGGGCACGCCGGGCATCCCTCTTCTGCCCCTCGGCCTGGGGGCTGTAAGGGACTGCGACGGGCGAGCTGCCAGGGGCCCGGCTAGCCAAGACAACCCCCGACCCGACGCGCGGCTCAAATTTCGTGGCCTCTCGGCCCCAATCCGGGGGCAGGGTGCTTTGGGGCCCCGTGGCTTCCGCCACAAGTACAGGCTGTCCTTGCAACGAAACCGCGCCACCCACTCGGGGTGCCACTTGGGGCGGGCCACGCAAAGCGACCAGAAGCGGGGCGGGACGGGGCCCAAGCCCAAATCCGCAGCTCAACCTGGGTCGCAGCCGCAAGACCGCGGACCGCGGTCTCACAGGCGCGCTCCCCTCCCCCCTCCTTGACGATCCGATCCGCGGCCTCGCCGACGCGGGCGTGGAAAACGCTTTGTTGGGCGCCGCGTTTGCGGACTGATCGGGAGGTCCAAGTCCGGAGACTGGCCTGGGGGGGGGGGACGGCAGGACCCGCCGTTCGCGCGATTACAACCAAGTGTTTTTAGGTTTCCTGGCGAATGGAACGCTATGGATCAGTTTACTCATCATGCATGTTCAACGTCTTCGTTCTTCTTCATTTTCCCGCTCCTTCATCTTCTCCCAAGGTCTTTTTGCAACGTATGTAAATTCCTTATGTGGTGACCTTACGAAAGGGTTTTCATTGTGGAGGATCTGCAATGGCCTCCACACTTAAATTCCTTTTGTAGCAGCCTGTACAAAATGAGTTCCTTTTGCAGCGGCCTTACAATAGGGTCTCATTTGTGAGGGATCTGCGGTGGCGACACCGTGGGCCCAGGAACGCTAAGGAGGGAACAAGGAAAACGTAAACAACTAACGGTGTTTGCAGGGAGGGGTTCTCGCTTGCGTTGGTCAGCCGAGGTTTCGCACAGCACGTCTTAAACCACGTGTTGTACACAATGTAGCTTCCACCCCAAAACTTACACCGCATATCTGGCAACACATAGCTTGTACCGCATACCTTATACCGCATAGCTTGCTCCACATAGCTTACCCATTCGCTGTGCAACAGTTGAGCTACTGTTTCAAGCCCACGCCGGCACACACTGTGTCCCCTTTCTCGGTGGCCGAATTCTCGGTTACCTAATTCCCGAAACCACGAATTCATAAATGAAGCATTTTGGCTATGTGCCGCCCTCGCGCGCCCGCGCCTTCTTCCCGCGGTCCTTCCTGGCTATGTCCAGCTGGGCCTACCCGGGGGCGCAGGCGAGGGGGGGGCGAGGGGGGGGGGGGGCGCCGACCCCGGAGAGGCGGCCGCAGAAGGGAGTGTTCCGCTCCTCCTGCTCGTGCTCCTGCTCCTGCTCGTGCTCGTGCTCCCTTCACCTGGAACCTCCTCCATCCTCCGTCATCTGTCCTCCTGCCCCTGCTCCTTCTCCTCCCCGCTGCCAATCCCACCTCGACTGCTGCCCACCTCCTCTGACCTCCTCCGTCCCCCACCCCTTTTCCTCACATATATATATATATATATACAAATAGATTATGGCTAGATATATGTACCCCCTTGTCGCGCCCCCAGACATGTCGACAGGGCGGGCTGGGCGACGCGCCTGAGATACCCTCATCTCTTACGATCCTGAAACTTCGAATTCGCAACAGTTTCACAGATGGAGGGCGGGTCCTTTTCAAAACGTGGTTCCAGCCTGTGCACTGCGACCGTTCGTCTGAAAGGTTTGCAGCAATTTGATAGATGGAGGGCGGGTCGAACTCAAAATGTGGCTCTCGCCAACGAAGCGCACATACGTCTGGGGAGTTGGGATCGGTTTCAAGGATGGGGGCGGTTCATTTTCAAAAGTGTGGTTCTCGCGCTATGGCCGCATATTTGAAGTTCACAACGGCCGACTCAATGACTCGTATGGCTGAAGTCCCAGGAATGGTGTTCTGGCACGGTTTAGGACTGTCAGGACACGACAGTCACGTCGATTCGCGTGTTGAAGTCCCAGAAATGACGTTCTTGCGTGGGGCAGGCAGCAGGCGGGAAGACTTCCGATAGAAAATTGCTTGTCACATCTCCTCCGTCCGTCCTCCATCCGTCATCCGTCGTCATCACTCCCCATATTCCTCCTCTTCCTCTTCCTCTCCTTCTACAATGTACACCCAGAACTCGGAAGGCGCAAACTATGATGTGAACAGAAATCGTGGGAGCACTCGATTCAAAACAATTTCGCGTGCTTATTTTTCATACAAATACACGGCATAGTTGCCCCCACAATAGGGGAGGAAACCAGGCCGACAGGGGGCGTACAATCCCTGGCTGTCTAAGGGCCAGGGGGTCCCACGAGGCCGCCAAAAGTTTGCGAACCAAAACCTTGAACCATCAGATGTTTTGACCTCCTCTTCCTCCTGCCCCTTCCTGTCCCTCTCCTCTTCCTCCTCCTCCTCCTCCTCCTCCTCCTCCTCCTTCGCTTCTTTTTCCTCCTCCTCCTCCTCCTGCTCCTGTTCCTCCCAATCAATGCGGTCGTCCGCGAGGACGAGTGCGCCGACCAGAAGGACGACGACGAAAACGACGACAACGACGGACGAGGACCAGGACGACGAGGATGAGGACGACGACGACGAGGGACGACGGACGAAAACGGCGACGACCACAACGACGCACTGCGGATGCCTTTTATGGAGGGGAGCGCGCAGGCCCGCTGTAGCCAACCACGACGACAGCGACGAGGATGAGGACGAGGACAAAGACGACAACGACAACGACACCGACGGACGACTGTGCCGTCCAGAAAGACGACGACGACGACGACGAGGATGAGGACGGGGACCGACGACGGACGACTGACGACTGCGCCGACCAGACCGACGACGACGACGGCGACAACGACGAAGCGAACGACGACGACGACGACGGGGGCGAAAACTAGAACGAAAACGAGGACGACGAGCGAAGACGGCGACGACGACGGATGCCCTATGGAGGTGACCGCGCAGGCCCGCTGTAGTCGACGACGGCGACGATGAGGACGAGGACGAGGACGAAAACGGCGGACGACTGCGCCGACCAAAGGGCGACGATGACGACCACATCGACAAAAACGACGACGGTGAGGATGATGACGACGTCGGCGGCGAGGGTGCGGAAGAGAACGGCGACGATATTTAGGACGAGGACGACGACGACGGACGACGACGGCGCGGCGACGACAATGCACTGCGGATGCCCTTGAGCGGGGGTGCGTAAGCCTGTTGCACTCGACGGCGGAGGCGACGAAAACGACGAGGACGAGGACGAGGACGGACGACGGCGGCGACGACGACGCACTGCGGATGCCCTATAAAAGGGGGGGTGCGCAGGCCCGCTGTAGTCGACGACTGCGACGACGACGACGAGCACGACGACGACGACGACGACGGACGAGAGCGCCGACCAGGACGACGACGAAAACGCCAACGACGACGACAACGACGATGACGATGAAACGAGGACGAGACGAGGACGAGGACGAGGTCGACGACGACGGACGACGGACGACGACGGCGACGGCGACGACGACGCACTGCGGATGTCCTCTTTGGATTGAGGGGGTGTTGCACGCCCGCCGCGGCCCGCCGACCCTTTGGACGCTCTAGGCGCGCGACGCCCCCCCCCCCCCCCATCGCCCCCCCCTCGGGCCCCAAAACTGACAATTTGACCACGCCGGGCTCGGGACGGCGCGCCCCCGAATTCACCGGGGGGCATGGCCCTCCTCGGGCTAGCTCTGGACCCCCCAAAAAACTCGCGCAAGAACCGATGGGCCCAACGAAGGTGTGTGAAGTACGTTTTTAGCGCGGCAGCCTGTCGGAACATTGCGATGTATCGGATTGCGTCGCTTTCCGTCGCCGGGAAATGCGGCTTCCGTCCGAGTGCACCCATGAAAGCTGCCCAGCAGCGCACGCCAGCGATGTACGATGGCAAAGAACGCGAGATTGCAGCAAGCATGTTCCTCTGACCCGATTCGTCCAAAAAGGTGTCCCGACCGTCTCCGGCAGCCGCCAAGACAGCAATCGCCTGCCGGGGAGGCAGTCGCTCTGTGACCCGGCGGCTCAGACCTGCTGTGCCCATACGCTCCGCGAGCGTTTGCCGTCCGAGCGTTTGTGCAATTCACTGCTCCTTGTCATACTCGTGCATGGCCTGTGCCACGACCCAGCCGCTACGCTCTTCCGGAAGCAAAGCCGTCAGGCGGGACAGCCACCATACAGCGCCCGAGTCTTGCGGGGGCGGCACCGCGACCAATTCAGCAAAGGCTTGGGCTCGCTCCGCCACTGGAGGGATTGAACGCGCCTCAGGGCGCTCCACGAGGGCAAGCACTTCCTCACCACGTTCACCGATGGCACCGGCGCCAGTGGGAGGTTTCCTTTTCTTGTCGCCTACCTGCCCCTGCACACCAGAACGTGCGGCGGCCCAAGCCGCAGAAGTGAAAGGTGGAACGGTAGGTTTTCCGCTGCTGTGCTCCTGTAGGGCGTGCTGCCGCCCGCGCGGCCTAGCCGTCCACGCAGTCGACGTGAACGGGGGCACTTCAGCCATGCCCTCACAACCTGTGTGCGCTTTGGTCGAACCGATGGGTGCCTTGAGCCAAGGTTCCGGATCCCATGCGCTACGATATTGGGCTATGTGTGCTGCGTGCTCTTGTTTATGCTCACGTGCGCTTTTCGTCACTGTTACCATTTATGTATATACACAGCCACGTTAGTTTACAAGCGTGCCGGACTCAACCAGGACTCACAACGTCACAAGTGTTTCACTGCGTAATGACACGTTGCACGTTTGGCCACCTAGCACGCCGAACCAATGATAAAACGAGTGCGCACATGCATGTGTACTTGAAGCGCAATTGTTCCATGCAAGGGCCACTCCCTGAGGCGAAGATTACGAAAGCCGGCCAGATACTGCCTCCCCTGCTACTGCCTGAGAAGAGGAAATGCACTACACGAGGGAAAACGAGTACCATGCAGAAACCCTGGGGTGGACCCCGAGAAACTCTCCTGGCGCAAGACTGGCCCCCAGAAAACGAGTCCGCGCGGCAATGCACGAACAGACCCAGACAAGACCCTTTGTGGGGCTCTCGTGCAAAGAAAATGCACCCGAAACCTGACGATAAGATAAGACAAGTGCCGAGAGGCGGACCAGGCTTCAGCCAAGACAGGTGGGTTCCAGCAGGGTGGCGCTAAGGGTCATTTCAGCCCAAACCCGTTAGCCACTTTTGCCACCAGCTGGATCCCGAAACGGCACAAAACGCAACGAACAAGTCACGAATTTCGGTGACGAACAGGGTACAACTGAACAGGCGGAAAACTGTACCCGCCACGTTCGCTGAATGTCACACTCGGGACTCGCTTGCGAACTCTCCGCTGGAGCTCGCTCGAGAATTCAACTTCTTCTGACGAAGTCGCTCGTGGAGGGCGGCCATTCGAGCTTCAAAGGAGTAGCGCATCAGGACTCGACCACACCAGCCCGAAGCACAACGCCCTGAGGCCCACAGTGTCGATGCAACAACCAGGAAAAAGACCCCACGAAGCAACCCGGGAGATCCCGACCGTCAGCCCAGACACGGCGGCGGGAAGGGCCGAAGGCCATTGGATGAACCCCCGTTCCCTTGCTTGGGGGGGGGGGGGCGCTGCCGGCGAGCCCCCGCCTTCGGGGCAATTCGCGGTAAGCGAACGGGCAGCGACATTTTCGCCCCCGAACCCCCAAGACCCCACGGACACAATGGAGGTCGAGGTCGGCCCCACGAGGCAGGAAGGAAAGGGGAGAAAGGGAGGAGGGGACGGGGGAGGGGAAGGGGAGGGGGGGGGAACCAGCAGGCACAAGCAGAGGCGGGAGGGAGGCGGAGCGGAGAAGGCGGGGGACAGAGGCGAACGAAGGAGGGGAAAAAATGCGAGGCAAGGGGAACCGCGCAGATAATGACAGCAGCAACCAAAGCAGGAACGACACCATGTTCGAGCGCGAAGTGACGACTTCTTCCACACGTTCGGAAACAAGAGTATTTCAGTGTCGTACAATTAACCTGCTACAGAAGATGGCCGTGAAAAATATCATGCAATTCATGAGAGCAGCCCGTGTGCTTCTGTGGCGCCCCGCGCCCAAGAGTCGAGGCCCTCGCCAAAATGCGGGAAATACCATTCCAACAATTCGACAGCCCCCAAGTCGCGGAGCATACATCTATCGTCTCTGGATGGAGGGTCAGCCAAGTTTGCCTTGCTGGCTACGTACCTAACCTAATATTGCATGTCCATTAGAGCGGCGTCAAACCAAAGGCGCCCGACAATAGCACCAAGGTCCTTCTTGGTGGAGAAACCTTTAATGATGCAAGCCAGGGCCGCCCCGTTGCCCACGAAGTGAATAACCCGGCGCCCGCGGAGCTCCGCAGGGCAGAGGGAACAGATCGATGCCACAGCCGCCAACAGCTCGAAAGCAATGATGTTCGTGGTTCTCCCCAACAACTGCTTCCGGATGCAGCGGGGCACCCGGCCTCGGAGGAAGCGGATGTCACTGTTGCTCAGCACCGCCACGGCTCCGACGCGCCCAGTGCCCTCCGCGTCGGAGTACATGAGAATGGCCGGGGGCGCCGGCGGCGGGAGCAGCGGGGCAGACCGGCGCAGGCCGCGCGCCAGCACGTCCAATAACCACTGCGAAGAGTGCCGGATCCTCCTGGTGAGGGTCGTCGGGCCTCGGAGCTGGCACTGTCTCCATATCAATGGCCTCAACAGTGCTCTCCACCCGGGAACTCAAGAAAGCCAGCTTACCCCGGATATCTTCGCACCATAGCACCCGCTTCTCCTCTCCAAGACGCCAGCCGACGACGCCCCCCTCTACGGTGACCAGGAGGCCGAGCAAGGGGAAGCTGCGCGCGACGATTGTCCTCCGAGGATCAAGCTCCCAGCCGAGCATGGAGCAGACGACTTCGTTGAACACGTCTGCAACCCACTGGGCGACGGGCCGCCCGTTGGGCAGCATCACGCCGGTGGCGGCCCAGAACACGTCGTCGACGTAGAACAGGACCGGCAAGAGAAACAACGATACTGCAATGCTCTCGACGGCCTGCGCCGCGCGGAACCACCCGGCCCCCGCGCCGAGGTTCCCGAAAACATGTGAGAACAATGGCACCAGTTGATAGCGATCGAGATCTGGGTTGAAGACCAACGACCAACACAACCACAAATGGTCCCTCGCAGGCGGCAGAGGTTTAAACGCCGACCAGAAGTCCGTTTTCCCCATGACCACGTCGGGTGCCGTCTCTGTTTCGTCGGCAGCTGCCGCGACGCATGCGAGCGCCTCGAGCATGCGATCATGAGTGTCATAGTGAGATGTTTGCGGCATCCACGTGCAATCATTGACCTTATTATTTCTGAAGTTGTGTATCTCGCGAACTTTCCAGCCACCCGTCTCTCTTCGTTCCCATATGCCAAAGGACTCCACCAAAAGCACGGTGCTTAGATCCACGTATCCGATCTCTCGCGCCGAGCCGGCTCTGCCCGCAGCGATGTCCTCTTGCACCTTGGCCCAAATGGCTGCCGCCAGGGCGCGGTCGTCTTCCGACCGCGGCCGCCGGACTTCCGCCGCCTGGAGAGCCCTGGCGTTGAGCTCGGCGCGCTGGCTCTGCAACTGCGGCAGGGGGCGCGGCCCGTGCCAGCCGGGCCTGCCGCGGCTGCACCGGCCTCCCGGCAGGTCGGCGCCGAGGCCGCCGACAGCAACAACCTTTGTGAGCGGAAAACCGTCGACGAGGTCACTGATATACCCCTCGTCCGGGTGGCCAATTTCCTCCAACATCTTGCCCGTGAGGAATGGGTCTAACCGGCCAAGGACGCCGATCTGGCACGTCGGGAGAGAAGAACGCCAGGCCTGCAGCCGCGCTGCGCCCGTTTGCTTGCGGGCCCGCCAGCGGTGGAGGGCAGCCTCGACTTGTTCATGCCAGGCCAGCGGGGCCTGCACCATTCTCTCAAGAATGTGCCGCTGTTCCGCAGATAACAATACCTCTCTGGGATCACTGCACACAGAAGCAGCGTTCCATTCTCCAACCAGATGACGCAGTGGGTCATCGCACTCGTCCTGTGCAAACGGCAGCGCGGACGATTGCTCTGCCTTGCCGCCGCCGCTCTTCTGGAAGCCCTTGCCTCCCTTGTGTCCGGGCGCCGGGCCTGGTCGGCCCGCGGGCGGGGGCGGGGGCCTGGGCTGGTCTGACAGCGCCAACTGCGGAGTCTGGGTTGGGCGCTGCGCCTGGTAAGGCTGCCGGAGGGACCGGTCCTGCTGGTGGTGCGCCTGCGTCTGGGCCCGCGCCCTCGCCTTCCTGTTCTCACCCACGAGAACCAAGTCCCTCTCTGGAGCGCAGGCCTGGTCGCGGCGGCGGCTGCGCTCTGCCGCGTCGGACCACATGTCCGCCTCCATGGCCCACGCGGTCCAGCACGTCTCCTGGATTGCCATTTGGTGCGGAGCCAAGAGCTCCTGGCTGGGCCCGTGCCCAGGCATTGCCTTGTTCATGCCCCCTGGAGAGCGCTCGGGCCAGTGCCTGCCACCAACCAACGTCGGACGAATCACGCTGCAGCCAGCCCGTGCCAGCCATCAAGGGCCCGTGCCCAATTTGTGCTCAATGTTGCCGCAGGGCAGAACACATGACGCACGCATAGCAAAATACATCAAACGCACAACATGATCAAAAAGTAATGAGTTGGCACGGGCG